AACATACATAATTTTAAGAAATGCAATTATTTTTAATAATGAAGCCACAACTAAGGTTAATTAATATTTTTAATAAAAAAAACATTTTGTTCTTTGAAGTTACAAAATGTATTTTGTTAGTTTTAAGCATTTTTCATGGAAATATGTATGCACTCTGCTTACATTTTTCAAACAAATAGTATTACTTTTTCATGAGTATCTCCAAAGCCTCTAGGAAGCAATAGCAGTGTCCAATATATTCAAATGTTCTTTACTTGCTCAAACACTAATTGGGTTTCTTTTCAGAACATCCCAGGGGAATCAAATGCCATTCAATGTAGTAGGACATTGCATATGTGAAATACACGTGTCTGACAACCTACCAATGTTTTTAAATCTTCAGTAGTTCCTTTTGTTGAGTAGGTTTGCTAACTCCACTCAGAAAAAAGCCTAATCAGAACCACAGAATTGTCCCAATATATTTCACTCATATTTACTGATTCTGCCCTGCTCTATAATTTCTTACTAAGAGTTGCAAACTATAATCCTTCCAGTCAAAAATCAGAATCTCTCAAAGCCTTATTCTCTCTCCTTTCTCAAGATTTTTGAAATGAGATGAAAAGAAGATGAAAAAGGCTATGGACTCTTGAAACCGGGTAAGGATACCAGAGTCAGTTTCCGCTCTGAATGTAAAGGACGGGGCTTCACTATTTATTATTCTTACGACGTATGATTTTCTTGCAAAGATAGATTTTATATATGCTGTGAAAGTAGACTGAAATATAATTATAGACCAAAGTGCAATGCTTTTGAGAGTCAAAAAAGGATGCTATTAATAATTATATCGGTACACCTGGTGCACGTTAGGACTATACAGGCCAACTGAGACTCACAGCCACTCTGCATAAAAGTCAAAGATGAAATCTATGCTTTGTTATATAATCATCAGAAGACCTAATTAAGAGCATCATAGCTAGAACCAATGAAATTTTAGAGCTGAGTACACTTTAAGATATTCGTAGTTCAACCCACTTATTATAGAGAGCTGGCAAGGCCAAGGTGCAGTGAGGTTAACCAGTCTGTCCAAGTCACACAATAAGGTAGGTGGTTGTGTTGAAAGTGAAAACCAGGTCTCCTGATTTTCTGCGCTTTTTCTTTATACTGTACTCCCTCTAAGTAAAAGGCATTCCTATGGATCCATATTCTCTACAAGTTTATAAAATATTCTTGAAGGAATGAAACAAAAAGTCACAAAATGTGATACAAAGCCTAGACCGGAAGAAAAGTCACAATCTTGATCTTAAAAGAAACAGCACAGCTCCACTGCCCTCTCTTGACAGACTGGCAAGCAAAGGGAGTATGCCTGTTGGTTTACTTTTACTTATTTACGTAAAGCTACATATACATCGTAAGACATTGCCAAGTTATTCAGAAGAGGGGGTACACTTAGCAGCCAAAAATCTTACATGACACTCCTGCCCCCAACCCAAGAAGCTCTCAGCATCCTGAAGAACTTCATGTTATCAATTATTCACAAATGTTAACTTTCTGAGATTAGCCTTATAGAACGTTCTCTTTTTTTAAGATGAGCAAGTCTCACAGAAACATTTAGACATTAAATATTCTAAGTAAAACAAATTTTATCAACTTTATGTAATCCATATAAAAAGTACTATTAATATTATAAACACATTGAAAAAGGTATTTAATCAGAAGGGTTGGTAAATGTACCCATTATTTCATGATATAAATCATGTCTTTCTAAAGTAAACATCAGTCTGAAAATTGATCATCATTCAGAGATGAAAAATTTCATTTTTTTTCCGTTTTAAAGCATATTTGCTTTTAAGGAGGAATATAAACAGGGTCTTATGGGACATTTTGATGAATATTCTTTTATATTCTATGATGCTGTGAAAACTGAAAATGCATTTCTCCCCTACTACTTGCCCTGCAGGATGGCTGAACAAACATCATCTCATCTATTCGAAATGAATCCAATCTAATTCTGGTTGACCAAAAATCTGTTTCCAGAGTTCTAAAACATGCAATCACCCCAAGGTACATTGCCATTGCAGCTTAAGTGACTCAGTGTTATCACTGAGGAAAATACACTTTGATTGAGAAAACAGTCTGGTATGGCATTTGAAAAATAAAATGACCCTTCCTGGTAATTGAGTAAGGCAGATGATAAAGGCAGGCAGATATGGCCACTACAGACAGGGTTTAAAGGAAGATGCTTCACACAACCTGCAAAAATGGGTCAAAGGCTACAGTCCTGGAATCAGTTACAAATCACTCTCATATTGAAACTTCAAGACTTTGGCAATTCTAAAAAACATTTAAATTCTACATATATCAGCAATCACCTTGTGGTTGGATGGCAATTTAAAAATTAATTGTGAAGTAAGGAAAATTTGCAACAAATTATTCTGTTACCTAAAAATAAATCATTTACTTTCTTCCCTAGAAGTTCCCCAAACTCACATACATACCTTATTATTGCCTGTAATCACATGACATCGTTATATGAGAGAATTTTAAAGGCTTTTAGTCCAACTTTAAAACACTGTTGCCACAATTGAATATTCATAGCATATTAATCCAAATTATTTAATTGCTGTTATTGGTCTGTTAAAAATCTAAAGATTTAAAATATCTATTTTTTAATGAGTGTAGTAATCCTTTATTTAAGTCAATATCTCCTCAAATGAACCAAGTAACACTAATTGATCAGACCATTTACTTCTATAAACCACTGCTGTCTTTAAACATGCAATAGCTTATAATAAAAGAGATTCTTTTCACTGGCAATTAATGGGCAGTCAACTGTTTTCCTTTTATATTAATTAACATTATAAAATGCATAAATTTTTCTTTCTTCATTTCTAGGTGTTTAGCTTGCAAATTAAATAGCTATTTTATACATGTTTTCTTAAAAAATATTTCTTAATAAATTGCAGTTACTAATTGATAAAATATCATAAAAACAAGGCTGGTAATTCTTTATTTTGGGATACATCTGGCTTACCTAGGAACTTAGGCAGCTGTACTTTCATTAATGATGAAACAAGACTACTAAGAAAAATATCTGATTATTTCAAATTTTATTCATAGAAACAGTTCCAGTTCTGAAGGTCCTCTTATGAATTATTTTATATGAAGGAAATAGTCTATCAGTTGCTTTGTTTTTCATTTTTCTTGTGTCAGATTCACCTTAACGACCTGCTTATTGTCAAATAAACAATAAACCAACAACCACAATCATTAGTGAAGTATTAGGAAAGAATATGAAATGGAGCTGTTGGGCATGCATAAATCTGTCTACAGTCACAAGTCTTTATCCAAGGGGCTAAAAGCAATTATTAACAATCTTATAAACCCAAGCAAGATAGAGGAAATCAACAAAATGATTATGCTCGAAGCACACCTTGTTAGTCAAACTGTATATTCCATAAGGGCAGGGGTTTTTGTTTGTTGTTGCTAATGTATCCCTAGTGCCTAAAACAGTGAATAGCACATATACGACCAATAAATATGTATTGATGAACACCCTGTGAGACAACCCATTTTATTTTGTGGCCAAACGCAAATTTAAAAAGAGAGGGAGAGAGAAAAAAGAAAATGGTGCATATAGGTATATAATAGGCAATACTACATTTATGAATTTACAGAATTTACCCTTTTTTGGTCATCTCTCTTCTCCTAGGACATTTTTTCTTCCTCTATTCTGTTCCTGCCACTCCTTTCTATTCAAAGTAAAAATCAGAATCTATTTTCTTCTTTTTCTGCTGAACATATGTTAATTACTAGCCAGGGTGCTGATATGAACAGAATTCACCTTCTTTTACTCTCTTTCTAAATTTGACACTTGATCTGTTTCAAATATTTGAAATAAAAGCAATTTAAAAAATGATTGTTGTCATTCTTGCTTCTTTAGAATGTGGTTTTCTAGAAAAGTATGGCTCATGTATTTGGAAAGCTTTATATGGCACCTACTGGAGACACTCACTAGCTATTAAAAACAAAACAAAAGAAAATAATCAATTTTGGACCAAGGAGAACATAACAATTTTGAAAGAATTAACAACAGAATATATACAAAGGCTATAAATGTCAACAGGGGTCCAATAGCATTTAATAGCATTTCAACAGCATTCCAAAAGCTTTCCATTAAATGTGAGCTCTATGAGGCAGGTAGAGTTTTTCTCTTGTTCTTCACCAATGTAATGCCAATACCTAAACCAGTGCCTGATACATAGTAGGAAATCAATAAGTGTATCTTGATTGAATTAATATACTTCCAAGTTGTACAAATTCAACATTTAAAAATTCTGTTTTTCAAAAATTTTAGACATAAGATGGGACAATAAGCTCATTGAAGGGAATTCTTTGTGAAGGCAGTTGGCCACATATACAAAATATGTTAGCCCAAGACAGATATTAAGTACCATATTTTGGGTCTTTGTCTTCAAACTAACAGTGCATTATTCTCATAGACAGTAAAAGGGTAGACATATCATTCTCCATGAGAGTCACATGCCTACCAATTCAAAATTTTAAGACTTCAAAATACAATAGAAGTATTGTAGGCAATTTCTCTTTTAAGATTTTCAGATTTGCTTCTATTTTATTTTATTTTGATGAAGTGCTGAGCTTGAACATACAAGGCCTTTCAAATACTTCATTAATTTACTTGTTCATGTAAATAAAAAAGTGAAAACCCTGTGTAATTAGCAGCCAATCCCCTCAGCATGGGCTACACCAAGGTTATTAAATCAAGACTACCAGCTAGCAGCTAACAAACCAACACAAAGCAGTTTATAAAAGTCCACAAATCTCAGAAGAACAACATATACACATTTCATATTCAAACTGAGTGCATTTCATTAAGCAAGTCTCAAAGGAAGCCATAATGCCTCAGATCAGAAACAATCCCATTTTAGAAAAGACACATATGCAGAAAAACCCACTTTCATAATCACAGGTCCAAAATGAAGGAAAGAAATCCACATACTCACCTGGCTAACGGGTTCTTTCGTAGGAGGCTTTCCTCTTCTGGCTGTGCTAGTAGCCAGGGTCGTGGTAGTCTCCATAATTGATGTGGACATCTCTGACTGCATGGCAGTGGCTGTCGACTCAGTTGTCATAGAGGAAGGCACTTCACCAACCAGTCTCACATTTCCCACTATGGCGATGTTGGCATCATTTTCGGCTGCCATATTCAGAACTTTCAAGCCATTGTAGTAAAGCCCAGAGAGCTGGCCCTGGAAGGGCTGGCCCTGCTCTTTCCCGCCAATTATTATGGTTGCTTGGCTATTGAAGATTGTGAGCTGACGCCCTGTAAAAATAATATTACATACATGCAAAAATGTTGATTGTGAACTCTACATTCTACAAAGGATGATAAAACAGATCTTTCATGGGGTGAATAATGAGAGCAATAAACTATAAGAGAGGCATTTGACTCATAATTCATTGCTTATAAATGAGGTGTCCATGAAATGCATAATCATTGGCAAATACTTGTAAATTCTCAACTTATTGTAAATGTAGTGCTTTTGCTAAAAGACCAATCAAAGATATGTATTATAAATCAATTTTTAGTGGATCCCTTTTCCCTTTTACCTCAAGATCTTATACTATTGGTCTCCTAAGTCTAAATTAATTTAAAAAAAAAGTGAGAGATCTAACATTTCAAGTATTTGTCATTTTAAAATTATACTGACAGAAATTAATCTAAGCAGCTAAAATCTAATTTTAAATTTATGGTAAAAATTTCGTACTTCATGTAATGGCCACATGTATCTATCTGCTATTCTTTAGAAACGTTTATTTTTTGAAGGCAATAGTCCATTGTTATTTGAATTATTCTATTTTTCCGGCAATCACACTGAAAAGAAATGCATGGTTTACACTGAGCATGTCAGAGACAAAAAAATTCCAAATATACTTTTCTGATTGGCTTTCAGCAAGTCTATCAAAACAAAACAGAATGAAAAAAATAGCTTCAGATGTAAAAAGCAGCTTCAGGAATGATACACAAACCGATGGAGAAATTATGGCACATTTCCATCAAACAGCAATCCTCAGCAACAGTACCAATATCATCAAATTGAGTATCCAGTTTTAGCAGATTGCTCTCTGCTCATAAAAAGCATGCACACAACTTTAAGTTCACTTTTAATCAGGGCTTGTTCCCAAATGCTCTTAGAAGGTTGCAAACGTTAAAGGGACTTCATTTTGACTGGCAATCCATATTGCCCACTATTTAAGATGCCTAGAGTTTAAACCAAGAGTTTGTTGTTTTTGTTTTTCAGGACCATCATAAAGATATCAGAACTACATATATTTTAGTTAATAATTTAGAGGCTGGAACATGTAATATAATCTATGAATGATTTATCATTTTGGGTTAATGCTTGCTGTGAGTACCTTCATAGATTGAGTTAGTGGATTATATTTAACAGTCCCTTTAACCTTAAGTTAACAGGGTAAGATTATTAAACAGCTGGTACGTCTAAAAATGTATAGAAATTATTATACAAGGTATGCAAATATTGCTATCTACATTTTACTGTTTTAAATTTGTTTTTAATTTAGTTTTACGGAAAATTTATTTTTTATGTTTATTAGTGTTACAATGAAGTACTACTTGGTTATGTTCAAATTATTTTTTTATTTGAAGTTTTAATCAATGTTTTTTACCTTTGTCGAGTAGCCATTCATCAACTACTCGACCAAGTCGATATGGAATTCGCTGTCTAGCAATCGCCAGGCGCTCGTTATCATTGTTTCCTTTAAAGTTTAAAGAGACATTTCATTGGTTAAAATCTGTAAGGTCAAAGGTTAAAAGTTAATACTTAAAGCTTGAGCTATACAGTTGCCACATGATTTTTTGAAATTTGGAATTTTAAAAAGTTCTACCTAGAACATTTCATGTTTCAGACTTGTCATTCATTCATTTATTTTATTTTAGCAAACAAAATTATTCCTATGTTAATTGAAAATTAGAAATCTGCATTTGAGCTAGGTTATTAAACTTATGTTATAGACAGACCCGAACAACCAATTTAAACAGCATAGAATAGCTTTACAAAAAAATGACCATTGATCTCAGGGTTTTGTCTTTTTGATGTTTCTTATTAACTAGTTAAACATGTTCAGGTGAAACAGGTTTAAGTTTTCAAAATACATTCAACCTCTTATTCCAGATTAGTAATTTATGAACACCAAACTTAATACCGTCTTTGGCACACTGAAGCATCTAAAATAGACCTAGCATACTTTATGACCTAGTCAGAAAATAGAAACTCTTATTCATCTCATTTAAGGAAACCACAAAGTCCAAATAATTCTTCACAATAGTTCCAAACAAATTGGTTTATCAATCACTTGGACATCACAAGAGAATACATCTTGCATCATCCAAATATGTTATTATAGGAAAAGGCTTTGACAAAAGTGACTTTATATGATTGTCCTTAGTTTCATTTAAAGCTTAACATGTTGAAATAAGTAACATTTGAAAAGAATTATATGTATGTTTTTATATACTGAAATATCTGCTTTTTATTAAACTATCGTAAAGAAGACATGATAGCTTAAGGAACAAATACAAGCCACAAACACTGGTCCCTATTCAGAGATCTAAACTAAATGCAAGCTTTGCCTCTTTGAACAAAAAATTATCTGAGAGAAAAACCAGTTTAAATTGACCTTGAATAATGCTTGCTATAGATGGGTGTTTTCTTGATCTATAAAGCACTTAGGAAGAATCTAGGCTGCCATCTCAGTGCTCAATCGTGTATATTGTAAGAAGTTATTCCATTCCATGAAAATTAAATAATATAGAATTTTGAGCTAAGATATTTTAACAACAGCTCAGATGAGGACTCAGAGGTCAAAAGAAATGTTGAATGGTAGTGCTGCCCACAAGAAAAGACTAGAGCATTTTTCTAGGAAAGATGATAAATATAAATTCTCCTCAGATTTTAGAACATGTAATTTATAAGTGTTTTCTTATGCTAGTCTTATTATACACTATACTTACCACAATAAACCCACCATGATATTGGTCACACACTTCTAGAGAAATAGAAAAGAACTACCTTTTAGATCTTAATTTGTCCTTTGAATGTCTATATGACTGAAAATATTTCATACATTAATATTTAATTTAAAATGTAAATATCAAAGTGAAACAAAATACAAAGTTTAGTAAAAACATTTATATGTAATTCTGTGTGTTGTGCAATCATTAAAATGCTATAAAACAATATTTTATCCTATGGGAATATATTTTTAGTATATCGATATTTTTAAAGAACCCAAGGATGCAAATAGCTTAAATTCCAAGCCTATCTTCCTTTTAGAAGACTGTGCACAATTTCTGTTCTTTTGTGGGCTTGTTTATATATATATTTGGAAAAATATACTAAAATCTAATACTGATTATATTAATGCAGTGTGGTTATTGATGAATATGTGTTTTGGGCTTATATATAATTTAAGCAACAAACATGTTATGCGCATAACTTGGTAATATTTCTGAGATATTTTTCAAAAACACATACCCTTTGCTCTATGGACTTCGTTGTTGGCCAACACACATATCAATTCACACTGTTATAACTCTCCTGATGACTTTATAATTAGGTGGCTCCTTGTGCTGTTTTTCATGTTAGAGTATTCCCATCATCAGAAATGATTCATTATTCCCTCACACACCACCCAAATCTAGGCCTCAAATCACCTCTTGCCCAATTACTACTGCAGTGTATTAACAGTACTCTCTGCAATCATTCCACCCATGCTTCCTATGTCAGCCAATATCTAATCTTGCACTTGTCTATTTTAATCCTTGCATTACCTTTAGGATAAAATCTCAAACCCCTCATGAGGTTTATGAGAACTCCCATGATGCAGTCCCTTCCTACCTTTCCTGCTTATGGCTGTCACTGCCTTGCTCTCCTCTTTCCATCCTCATGAGACTTTTTTTCAACTCTTCTAGAACTCTCCTAACCTCTGGACTTCCATACTGGTAGCTTCCTTTATTTGAAATACTCTTCCTCACTCTCACCCTATGCCCATATTTTCTTAGCCAAACATGACTCATTAATGGAATCTTCTTGGCAGGAGTATTATTTCCTCAAGAGGTCTTCCCTCATGTCCTCAAGTTAGATTAGGACACCTGACTACATGCTTTCCTAGTGTCTGATACATGCCCTTTAGAAACAAGCTTTGACTCTGTAATTGCATATTCAATAAATATTTTCCCTTTAAACTCTGAAGTTCCACGAGGTCAGGTAGTGTTTATTTTTGTACTCGTAGTGCTTGCACAATACCTATGATATAACCTCCTATGAAATATCTAAGGAATGAAGCAGTGAAGGAAAACTGGTTTTTAATTCTGATAGTGTCTGTGGCACCACTGTAGCCTAACAAAATGCACAAGAAAAACAAAGCAAATATTTGTGACCGGAGAATAGAACATATATAGCTAAGCTTCCCTTTGTACTTTCCAAAGAAAATGTCACATATTTAAACAATAGTCTTATTTCTTTTATGATTGACACTGATTTGAATGTCTATACAGTCAATTAGTTCATTATTTGCTTAGTAATAACTGCCCAATGCCACAAAATAGATAATCATGGTTATTATTAGGAGGGGAAATGGAGAAGTCCTAAATAAGACTGGTGGAAAAAACTGAAGGCATTATGTATTCTTTTTGAATGACTTTTAAAAGAGCACATAAACACACATGAATACATATACACACAAATACATACATACAATTTCCCCTCATACCTTTGACTGGCACACATAGAACAATTAACACGATTAATATGGCATGATTTAAGTCAAAAATAGCTTTGGAAGATTCTTGAGGAGACTTAGCTATATAAGAACAGAATCATTACATTCCCAATGAATAACAAAGAGGTCAGCTAACAACAAGAAAGAGAAAATACAGTAGGCAGCAGAGATAGGTGTCTCAGATGTGATAATTAAGAAAGGTAGTCACACAAATGGGCTCATAAAATCCCCTTACCCACAAGTGTCAGATGCCTTCTAGAGCATTCTTTTTTTAACTGGAAGACTTGATTTTGAAATCAAAGGACAGACTTTATTCTTAATTGGGGTAATGGATAGGAAATCAGATGGTGCTTACTTCAATTCAATAAATGTGACTTTTTTCTCCAGATGCTTTCTTCTTCTACTAGAATTAAAAACTAACTTTTCTCGTGACAAAATTGTATATAAATACACTCTTGAAAAATGAAGACATATCTAAATACAGTATAGTGACAATGACTTTTTAACAATTGATTCCAAAATTCCTTCTACTACTGGGTATAAAATAGTTTAGATTGTATAGGTTCACCAGAAATAAACCTACAATTTGCCTCTACCTCCTGATTTTCATTAACAAGCTGCATATGGAAAGCCATAACTGAGTTATATTATTTTAAGAAATTTCTCAAAATGCATTTCATTTCTTTACAAATTCATGGTGATAGGTTATTTACAAAATATCCAATAACTCTATGATTGTGTTCTTTTTATTTAATCCTGTCCATAGTTTGCCATACATCTATATTACATGCAATATATTACATGCAATATAAAGCACATAAAACAACCCATTTGACTGGGGAAGTTCAAAGATTAATATAATTTTTGATGACCTTTTCCTTTCTTTGAAAATGGTTGGGATCTAAAACCAAATGTGCTGGGGTATAGAAACATTACATGGAGCTTCTGTGCTTGGTGAAAGGAAGCAGGCTTATACCGATAGGAGAGATTACAAACAAGTGGAATGTACCTGAAAATTCAAATAAAACCGAAGATGAGAAGCTATTTGCATCTTCAAGTTTCCTAAGTCAGAGGCAAGGATAAAGCAATAAGAACCCAATTATACAAGACCTATTCATTTTGAAATTATTAAAAGGGTCCAAGAAGAATTTCAACTTTTTAAAAAGCATGCAAATCAACTACAGCAATCTACTGAGGACATAAATTAGGTTTATGAAAACAGAGCTTCTCACTGAAAAGTTAAAAGATAATAATTTACTCTCATACTCCCTTCACTCTAACAAATGTGGAATGAGATTTTCTTGTTGATTTCTTTTCTTTTTCCTCCAGTTAATTTTATGCGGGTTAAATATGTTGGTACCTCCACTGAGAATGTCACTAGCAAAATACAGGACTCTGCTGAAGCAATTTTCAAAAAAATGAAACAGGATGAAAACTTTGGGTTTATTTTTCTTTGAATTTTTGAAGGATTCAGTATTTTTTAAATTAAATAGTTTAAAATTAAAATATTATTGACATATAACATTATTTTAGTTTCAGGATTCAGTGTTTTTGACAAAAGGCAGGCCCCCTGTAGTAACCCCACCACAACCAATTAATAGGCACAAGCTCTAATTGGAGTGGCCATTCAGGCATGTTAAATATAAGGGTATTTCAAACAAGGTTGCAGCAGTGAAGAATAAAAAGGAAAATCTGATCATTTAGACTTAGAGTGTAACATCCTCTACTTTGACTGAACCCCAGATAGTTCATTTTCCTACCTAACCAATAATATTTAGTCACACTATAGTATATTAATTTTGTATGAACCAGTAGACTTCAAGGAAACGAGTAATTTCAAAGAATCAAGGTAAGCAGCAAGGGGTAATAAAACTCAAATCCTCGAGTTGGAGTTAAATTTCATGGTGGCACTCAGAGAACAAGGGGAAATAAAATTGTAATCATATTTTTATGACTATTGGTCAGTAGAGACAAGG